TGAAGTCAGCAGGTGACTTGAAGTGTAGATGGGGCTTTGGAGTCTAACAATAATTAACTGGTTTATTCCAAGCCCACAAAACCCTTAAGCACACGTACAGTCTTAGTCACATGATAACCAAGGAAGGGACAGACCATAGTCTCTCCAAATCACATTATGTCTCTGCTTAAATATTTGCAGGACCCCTTCAGCCCTGGCCATCCAACCTCAATGAGGCCACAGGTCATCTCGCTCCCTGGACACACAGGTCACACCCACCTGGGTTTTTGTTTCAAAAGCTTCATGCTGCTTCTGTTACATCTAACCCAAGTTATTTAACAGCCAAACCACTGAGGATTCTTTGCCTCAATAGTGAGAATTATTTTATTTTATGAATACTTTGCCCCACGGGATGGTCACCAAGCTCAAAGGCAGTGGTAGATCTAATCAGCTGATGTCATGGTGTTCCGGAAGGCAGAGAACAGCTCACCCAACACTGCCTGAAGGCAGCACAGGACCTTTACCAACATCAGCACGGACAGATCAAAGTCCTGCAGCCAGGAAGGAACCCTCCCGTGCCACAGCACAAGCTGGAGAGGGCCAGGCTGGAGGCAGCTCTGCTGGGAAGCACCATGGTCCTGGGTGGCACAAGCTGACCGTGAGCCAGCCCCGTGCCTAGGCAGCGAGGGTGGCCAGCAGTATCTGGGCTGGATTAAGAGGAGCAGAAGCAGCAGAATGGGGAAGTGATTGTCCCCTTTCCTTGGTGCTCGTTAGACCCCATGTGCAGTTTTGGGCCCCCGTGCTGGGAAGCCATGGATGCACTAGAGTGAGTTCAGGGGAGGAGGCCATGGGGATGGTGGAGCTGGAGATGCGCCCTGGGAGGAGAAGCTGCAGGAGCTGGCGCAGCCTGAGCCGCGGCAGCTCCGGGGTCCCACAGCACCTGCCAGGGCCTGGGGTGTGGAGACAACGGAGCCAGAGGAGGGACAACGGGTACAAGTGGAGAGAAGAGGGGCGGAGGCAGGTCTAATGAAAACCCTTTTCCTCATGAGGCGGAACAGGCAGTGGAGGAGGCACCCAGGGGTGTGCTGAGGATTTCGGGATCAATCTGGATAAAGCAGCCTGGTCTGACCTCACAGCTGACCCTGCAAGCAGCAGCCGGGACCACAGACCTGCGGTGTCTCTTCAGAGTGAACCACTTTGGGATCCCTCTCCTCATCTGGCTGCTCTACCAGGCTGACGGCTTCCAGCAGGGAAATGGGCTCCATCTACTCTGTGAGGAGCAGCGGCAACCCCAGGCGTTGGTCTCTCCCCATCCACCTCAGCAAGCTCTTTCTAAGGCCCAGCTCTGTAATTTTCATTGTTTGCCATGTCAGATGCAGATTGGGGGCATTCCCAGAAATATCTGTCAAGTGAATACAATCAGCCACAGCATAACTGTTTCCCAAAAACTGAATTAACAAACGCCATCCAGAGTCCAAAAGCGCCTTATGCGGCAACTAGATTGAAACAATCTCCCAAGAATAACATTTTAAGTATTTTGTTCAGAGTTCTGTGTAATTCTTCATAAAAGTGATTTTCATGCATAACACTTTTTCAAAGGTTTTTAAGTAACCAGATGATGCTAAAGGTTCCAATCTTGAACACAGCTAGACATGGAAACGGGAGCCAAAAGCCTCGTTGGGTAACTGTTCCTCACGCAGCACGTCGCCTGCTAAAACAGGACACGTCAAATTGTGTCATGGAGACGCAGATCTGCGGAGGTTCTCAGTTCCTCTGTAATTCACATCATCTCGGGGAAATTTGGATACTCAACCTCAGAACCTGCCGATGCGAAGTCGGACAACGCCAAAGGGAAAAGCCTGGGGTCAGCGTCCCCGTCGCTCCGTCACCCGCTCACAGAGCGGGGTCGTTACCTGGCGCAGGGCTCCAGGACCCAGAGAGGACCCGGGTCACCAAGTGCTGTGCGCCGCCCGGGCTGCGGGGACGCCCCGGGTCCCCAGGTGCGGAGGCCGGAGCCACCGGACCCCGCAAGGCCCGGAACCCCCGTGTCCCCTGTGGAGCGCAGGGGAGCACCGTGGGGCCTTCCGAGTCGTGCACGGCGCTTGGCTCGACCTCATGACTCCTACCGCCTCAA